TATATGTATATTATATTTAGTTGTTGTTTTTGTCCCTGTTACTGCTACTGATATATCTAAGCTTATTCCCTTTCAGTTTAAGCGTGTGACAGTGTGTGTCACTGTACACTTCTTGTTTATTTTTCAGGAAAGTTATTTTAAATAGTGTAAAAGTTTCCATAAGTCACAGAAAAGTATTGACAACTTCCCCTTCAGATTTATTCCCGGGGCTTTAAACCGCCTGCATTTTGTGCCAATGGCTGTGTGGGGCAAGTTTGGGTTATGAACCAACTCTGGGAAGATACTTTTCCGATGATTGAAAAAAAAAAAAAAAGAAGTATGAAGTGTTATTGCCGAGGGGCGTAAAAAAGTCTCAGACGTTCACTCCCATAATGTCAGTTTTTTTTTTTTTTAAGAAGCACAACCTTGTTTTGGACTTGATGGTAGTCATAGTGCATATTTGACATTATCCAGGGACTTTTTTGAAAGAGTCTGGAGTGCAAAAGGTCAGGATTTTCTCAAACTTTGGAGGACATGTAATCCTTTAATTGAAGGCAAAATACCAGAATCCTCCCTCAACTCTATAGTTTGTAAATAAATAAAAAAGAAGCATAACATGAATTATTAGAAAGGTAGTGGCAGAGTTGAGGAAAGTTGAATATACCATTGGTACTAAGGGTGCAGGAGGGTACCAAAGGGGAAGCAACCTCCTTCGGCTTCCCAGCATCGAGAAGTAAAGAACAACTGAATTGCATGTCAGCCAGACCTTTGCTTTCTGTCAACAAATTCCTGCCAGATTAGGCAACAGGCCACGGTTTCTGCCCAGCACATCTTAAACACTGTGACAAACATTTCAGAGTGGAGACTCGACCCATGACTTCTCTGCTGCTTCCAAACTTAAATGTTATTAAAATGAAGCCCTTATTTTATAATCAGTAAATAACCTCTCACTGGCTTGCAGAAGTATTCCTACTCTTAATTTGATCATACTACAGCTATAAACTTCAGAAAGGTGCTTATATTTGTGAAATGTAAAGAGAATACATGTTATTTTGTATGTTTTTCTTTCTTTGAGAAATGCAAATCAGGAATATTCCCTAGAATCCCCTTTTCTTGCAGTTACAGCCGCAGGTCTTTTAGAGTATGTCTTTACCAGTTTTACACTGAGATTTATGCCCTTTGTGCTTTGCTTTGTAGCTCAAAGCTGTTAGAATAGTGCGTCTTTGAACATGAATTTTTAAGTCTAATTACAGGTTTAGATCTGGGGTTTGACATTAATATGTTTCAGTCCAACCCATTTCCTTGCATGTCTCTCTGCATGAATAGCGTTCTAGCCTGCCTTGTTGGAAGGAAATCCTTTGCAGTAATCTCTTTTTTTTTTTTTTTTTTTTTTGGAGCCTCCAACGGCTTTTCTTCTATGATTGGTTTGCATTTTGCTCCATCCATCTTCCTAGCAACTCTGGCCCACTTCCCAGTCCTCGCTAAAGAGAGAGCCTCCCCACGATGTTGACACCATCAGGTTTCAGTGTGGGGGTGGTGTGTTTAGGCTAACGTGCAGCAATAGTTCTGAAACCATACATGCTGAATTGTGGGATGAAAATTAATTATTAATTGATAATTGTCACAATTAAGATAATTGTCACATTTTTTGGAAAGGATGTGAATAATGCCATTTGTTGAGAGAATAACCATTGCAGAATATCAATTAAGCCAAAAGTGTATAAAAAATATACACGTTTTACATGTAATAAAATCTCCTCTGTCGAGAGCTTCTCAAGTAGTGTAGTTTTAGCTTCACCTGGATCCAGTTCTGTAAAAAAAGTATCTTTTACTATATTATTATAGTATTATAAGTTGTTGGACTGTAATCAACAAATTAATTTACAAAAAGTATGTTTTTTAAGATTAATTGAAAAAAATAATTGAAGGATTAAGGATTAATAAACTGCTAAAATAACGATAGCTGCGGCACTATTTTAATAATAGTTTGATATGACCAGAACACTTTTTTCCTGTTTGCTTTGGTCCCTAAATGGCTTGTGGTAAAAACTGACTTTGAACGACTCTCCTTTAATAGCAGCTTTCTTCTTGCCACTCTTCCAGAGTTCAGATTTGTGGAATGTGTGACTGATGGTTTTCTCCCACCTGAGCCTTGGTTCTCTATAGTTCCTCTAGAGTTACATTGGGCCCCTTGGCTTTGTTTTTTTTCATCAAGATCTGCCCACTCAGTTAGTTTACATGGACAGCTGTGTCTTTGTAGCTTTGCAGTTGTGCCATATTCTTTTTATTTTTATATGATGAATTAAACAGAGCTCTGTGAGATGTTCAGAGTTCTGAATGTTGTTTTTGGGCCCAACTCTGCTTTAAACTTCTCCACAGCTTCTTTAATATCTGAGGCCTTGAACAGCTGTGTTTATACTAACATTAAAATCCAATTAGTTGCTTCAGATTTTATTTGAAGGTATAAAAAAATGGATTTGAATACAGCTTTACCTTGGGGTTTGTAGTTGTGATGTGACTGAATGTGAAAAAGGTCAAAGGTTAAAAATACTTCATAAGGCCGTGCAATTCTATTAAGTGACCAGTATGTTTTAATGTTTAGAAAATGTTTGTGCAGCGTTTAATGTTAATTGTCTTTCTGTATTTTTGTAGGGGAAAACTTCAACCTTGTGGCCAATTTCTTCAGGCGGCACTCCAATCTCAGATGTGTTGTGGAGCAGGGTATGTGACCAACATGCTTTCCTGCAACCCGTCCCATTTAAAATAATCAGAAATGCATCATTTTCAGCCAAATTTCCCACCAAAAGAACAAGTCATCTGCGGATTGCTGTTGATTTTTCTCTCCCTCACTTGTTTTTATGTCTTGTCCCTACCTGCTAAGGGTGTATTTGAAAGCAGGCAGCCGTTAAAAAGCCCCCTTGAGAGGCTACTGGGAATGGGAGAGAGGGAGGAACTGTGCGACTGTCTATGGAGGGCAGTGGGAATGTATCTTCACGGCCCATCTAGTGCCTGTGACCCCTGGTGACCTTTTCATGGGACCAACATGGTTCTCTTCCTGTCAGTAAAGTTAATATCTGCTCCCTCAGAACTGAGGCCTAGATGTTGGGGCAGCGGTGACCTGCTGCTGAGTAAAATAAGGGTTCTTTCAGCAGGTCCGTTACACATCAAATTAGGCCTGGTCCTCTGGGGTCAAAGGTGGTGAAATTTAGTACACTGAGTTTACTCAGCCTACATATTAGGTTAGATAAAATCAAAAATATCATTAGTTTTAGTTTCTATTGGTAAAAATATCCAATGCTAACCTTCTGAAGGTTTAATGAAAGCTAAAAGACGTTTATCTGGAATTGGAATTTTTTTGTTTGTTGTGTTTTTTCCCTCTGAAAATATGAAAAATGTGTGAAATAATTTCAAGCTCCAGACGGTGGGTTAATTAACACAAAAAATAAAACAAAAGATATAAGTGTGATGATAAGAAGAGAAATGTAATCATCAGGAAGTGTTGGCCTAGTGGGTTAAAGCAGTGCACTTGTGGTCTGAGAAGGTTGCAAGTAGCCCAGTTTAAACCCCACATCCTCCACCCTGGGTTCCTGAGCAAAGCCCTTAACCCCATATTGCTCCCCTGTGCCGCACAGTGGCAGCCCACTGCTCCCCAAAGGGATGGGTTAAATGCAGAGGTAAATTTCTCCAATGTTAAATCAATAATTGGTAGGTACTCTTAACTCTTTATTATTATGTAGACTTCACATTGCATCAGTATCTCTAGCAAAGCACCATTCTACCACTGCCTTGCCAGGTAGTTGTATCCTTGCATGATTTTTTTTCCAAACAAAGTTCTTTTTACTGTAGCTAAATAGTTCAGTAAAGTGGCTTCTCTTATATTGATATTCATGGGGTTTCCTGTTCATGGGAGGCATGAGCTTTTTTTTTTTCTTCTGAACATCAAAACCAACTTCCTTTCATCTGATGTTAAAAGTTTAGGTCAGATCATTGAGACTTGGATGGAACAGGGTGTTCCGAAAAGGCAATTATCCCCAAAACACATCAAACCTAATTTTGGAACGGTAAAGTCAAGTTTCTTTAGTGGTTCTCCCAACGCCCCAACCTCAATCCTGCTGAAAATGTGTTAACTATTCTCCAGAGCTTCAAACTTTCTGCCATGAAGAGTGACCACATAGACAACAAGAATGAGCCTAGAAGTTTTATGAAGGCTACAAAATGTTAATGACCACAGTGCAGTTCTTTAAGAGGCATCTATTCAGTGGGGAGACAGATGGATGGATAAAGTAGTAGTCATTCAAAATTTCCCTACTTCATGGGCCCTTGGCTGGTCCCCTGCAATTCCTTTTTAAACATCAATCTTGGTTCTAAAATATCCTTGCTGTCATGATTTGTGGACATTAAGATCTAAAGAGAAGCATCTTCTCCTGGCCAAACCTTGTAATTCAGTGAAAGGGTGGAGTCAGAGTAAAAAATATGCAGGCCCAGGAGAAGGAGGGGCTCACTCCATTGGCTGGAAGTTTTAGGGGATTTTGAAGGGAAGTGGGCTGCCATTTGGCTGGCGTTTGACCTGGAAGGGCCATTTTGAATGGCTGCTACTATAGATAGATTCATCCTTTTTGTGCTAATATACCTCCACAAATTGGATGCCCCACCCCTAACAAAGAATCTTTAAAATGGTCCTAAATCAGAGTTTCCGCGGGTCATTAAAAATCATTAAAAGTAATTCAATTATAATGTTTTTAATTAAGGCCTTAATTAGCATTAAAATTCATTAAATTTGATAATCGTGGCATTAAAATGCTTCGGAAAAGAAGCTTGAGGTGAAGAAAAGGCTAGAGAATATATATATATTATTATTATTTTATTTATTTATTTTTTTCACCAAATGTTTTATATAGACATGCTTTGCGATTGGGACCAGCAGTGACCTAGAAGAGAGAGCATGAACCCCTTTTATAAATGCTTGTGGTTTTAGCCAGCAATTGTCATTAAACTGTTTGCTGTAGTTGTGGGAAAATCTAATACTTACCAAAACCATAGTACATGTAAATAATATTTTCCGTCCACACATGAAGGCAGCCGGTGAAAAGGATTGAAAAAATAAGGCTTTGAGCCATGAAGCAGCTAAAATTCATAAAATGGGAAAGGTATAGAACTTTATCTTTTTTCTTAAAGATTTTGCTTTAATCCAATCTCCTCAAGTAAAGAAAGATCATAGCTCATGTTTTCCATTATCTTCTGATCTTACATGTTTGAATTCATATTTAGAACATTATGTAGCTTATTTAACATAATTTGTTTTTGAAGTGAAAATATATTCTATTTGAAATCCTTTAAACTTTAGTTTATCCTGAAAACCCACAGTTAATGTAAAAATGTAAGCTATTTTTATGTTATTTACTCTGCTCATAAAGTTTTGGATATGTATTTTTACTCCCATTGTGTGACGGATAGTTTGTAGATGTTAATTCAAGCTTCCACCACAATTCCTACAGTCTGACTTGGACCGATAATTAGAGGTAAGCCAACCTTATTAAGATCTGTGCCGTTTCCCCGCCTGCTTTCAGATTTGCGTCTGTTTCCTGAGCGATATGTCGTGTGTGTGAGCTGCCCAGAAGATGCCTCGGTGCACCATGGAAACCCGAGCCTGGCCGCGGTGAGTGCTGTTTATACTCCTCTATTTCCCCTTCCAGTTGCTTGGCAAAAAGTTCAAAATTGGTCTGTATGTTATTACAGCATTTGATTGCCAAATTGTGCTCTCCCTTTATGTGTAGTGGTCTGCTTTACTAGAGGACAAGGGATTTGAACTCTGCAGGGGCATCTTGTAGAGCTAGAAAACAAAATATAAGGAGATTTGCGGCAACATCCTCAGGGTCCCGTTTTGTTCAGCCTAACCTGCCAAGTTAATATATTGAGCTTGACCTCTATTTAATACCTTTGTGGTTCTAAAAGAGGTATTTAACAAATATTAAGGTAAAAAGTAATCTTATTTGCACCTACAAATTCTTTTTGACACTAAAATAGTGCCTGTTATCATGAAGAATTAATAAATAAGTGATGAAGAGTATTGTTTTCAAACCAGCCAATGTCTTTCTAAAATAATTTAACAAAGCTGCTTAAAATTTTGTCATGCTACAGCCACAATGAAACATTTTTTAGCGAATTTGAGTGGGTAATAAGTAAAAGAGCTAAACAAAATAGTGAATAACCTAATTGTGAAAGTTATCTCCTTTTTTGAAAAGCTTTTACTAAGGAAAATCTAATAAAGGTGTCCAATGGGTTTTTATTCAGCCACCTGCTGAATTTCAATGGTAAGACTCGATATAAAACAGATTATATTTTCCCAAAACAAAGTCAAACCTTGTCGGATTAGAAGAAGGGTGTATGTTTACATTTTTTTTTTTTTTTTACAGATTTTCATTTGGATTCAGGTCTGAACTTTGACTAGGACATTCTAAAACTAAAATATTTTGGTGTAAAAAATCCTATGTAATTCTGACTGCATGTAAAGGGTTGGTGTTCTACTGAAGATGAATCTATATCCTTGGTCTCAAGTTTTTAACACTGTCTGGCAGTTTTTCTTGCAGGGTTACCCTACAATCAACTTCATTATCTCTGAACATCTTCCCTGTCTGCTAAGAAAAAGTATCTCCACTTCATGATGCTGTCACAACCATGATTTGCTAAAGGAATGCTGTGTTCAGGGTGACATCCAGCCCCACGTAGTGTTTTACCGTGCCCCGTTCTGCCCAAACTTCTTCTAGTTCTTTCATTAAATATTTCCACCTTCAGCTCAGCTGGAGTTAACATGGCCATTTTTTTTCCTTGTCTGTGTAAATGCTCGGTCTAAAAGTTCAGGTGGTTGGCTAGTAGGTTAACATTTGGTGGCAGACTCTTTAATTTCAGAATCTAAATAAAACGGAGCTTAAAAAGAAGTTTAACACTTAAAATCCCCTTTAAATCTATTTATACTCTTTCCCTAACCTCTCTGCAGCATCCTTTAATCTCTTCACAAAACAGCTGAACTATTTACCAATAATATGACCTTTAAAGGTAATTGCTCCCTTTATTTAGAGGTGTCAGAACAAAGGGGGTTAAATATGCCACACATTTCTATTTTACATTTATCTTAAAGTCTGAAAAACATGATTTTTTTTTTGTTGCTTTTAATAATTATGCAGGAATTTTGTTGCCATAGCAACAAAAGCTTGGTTGATTAAACAAACCAAACAAACTTTATTCCTCTTGCTCTTTGAAGATTGTTAGTGTTTTAATAGGGTTTCAATTACGTTGATTCTGCAGTCAGAATACTGTCTCTGTGTTTTTCCCTCTAATATAATCCACTATCCTTTGGTCAGTGTATATTTGATCCTGAAAGCCCCCCTGAGTATTTTGGGAATTGGCAGTGGAGCCTCTCACCTTGGCACAGACATCCCACCCCGATCACATCCCATGATAAGTGGCCTGCTACTTTTCTGTGAAGTATTTTTATTTAGATTTTTTTCAATACCTCAGCCCTTTCCGCAGTTAGACTTCCAATGAAAGCAGCGATTGTAATATTTTTTTGTCAAGCTACAGTCGTCGACAAAAAGTTCAGATTGTGTAACCAACTTTCCAGTTCAAGGAGGCATTGCTGTCGAGTGCGTTCCTCTGCTCAGGATGTGGTGCTCTGGGATCATACAGTACAAGCAGAGGGAATTGGAGGGTGGGAGTCTTTGTGGTGGGGCTCTCACTGGCTCTGCCTCCAGCCTGTTTGTGAAGGAAAGATACCAGACAGAGAGGCACAAGGATTTTCACATGACAAAAAGAATAAATTGTTCACCTCCCTTGCTCTATTCTTAACTTGAAATAAACGTCAAAAATCAGAATGCTATTGTAAACTATAATAATGTTACTGTCTGAAATATATGTGGTTTTAAATTCCCTTTCAGGCTTGATCTTGTTTTTAAGGGTCTGTAATCCCACAACGTTTGACAGCATTTGCATGCAAGGCCTAGAAATGTGTTGTTTTTTTGTACCACATTTGCGTGTGTTTAGAGAAGTTTCAGGTTTGTCAGGATTCAGTTTGTGTGACTCGTGGAAGAAAAACTGTAACCACAGTGGAAATTTAGACAAATGAGAACATTTTATAAGGTCAGAGGAGCTGGGTTGTAAGGGAACTGAGGTAACATCATGGCATCCATCATGGATTCTACTCAAGTTGTTTAGTGTGCACTAATATCCTCTTACTGGAGAAAGTAGTGGTTTTGTTTTTCGACTGCGAGTCGCTGGAGACAAGATGCTAGGATTCGATAACATCCATCTGATAAAAAGGAAATGAAGCAGATGGGATATTTCTTTTTCCTTTTTATATTTCTAAATAAAACATCCACTTTAAGGATTTTTATTTAAGGATTTGTACTTCCATCAGTTATCTCAAAAAGTCGTGGAATGTTGTTTCTCTCCAATTGCACTTTTATGTGAGACATTTTAGTAACATTAAATAGTTTTTAAGCTGATCTGAAGTCCACATGACGTTTTGATGCCTAAGCAGACTGCAGAACCTTAGTGACCTCTGCACACTATGCTCCTGATCTATTAAGATCCCGAATAAGAGTACAAATTTACCTGTGCGAACAAAAAGTGCAATTAGCAGCCATGTTGCTGGACACCTGTTCCACACTATCCTGCCTGTATTGGGGTTTTTGTGTCCTACCAGCAGATGGGGAGAGTAACTTGATCGTAAGAGAAAAATAAAGTTTGAAGTCTGGATTTGAGATAATAATTATCCAAAAATAACTATATTAATGGAAAGATAATTGAAAAGATTCAATTAGTGAGTCAATTAATGAGTTTTTTTTATGCACTTTACATGTAATTATCTTAAATCAGCAATAAAAATAACCACAAAGATCAAAATAATAAAGGCTAACAATAAAACATTTAATATCAGCCATAATACCTTAATAATTTGACATCACCCCAAGCTCCCCACTCAACCAGTTACCACGGCCTTTTCCTCTTCATTGCTAAACTGCCATCGTTCCCAACAGCTTCTGCTTTGCTAAAAGGTCAGACAGTTTATGGTGAAATACTTAGAAGCAGGTGTTATCATATAGGTGAAGATTTATCGTTTAAATGGATAAAACAGGCAAATGAGCTACGTTGCCCTGAGCCTTATAGTATTTATAGGTTTTTCTGGGAGAATACTGTTGTTGACTTTCATCAGCACTCCTTCAGAGCTATAATGAGCTGTGAAACTTGTTAAAAATGTCAGCTAATAGATATTATGTGACAGTTGTAATTAGCAGTATTACAAATTGTTCATTTTGGTTAAATGTTTTCCTGAAATCATGTGCCACAGCTTTAAATAAAAATGGTCCAGTCTTGGACTTGGAATACAGAAACCCTAATGTTCACCAAAAAGCCTGTAAATCAAGCTGAAATGAAAGGAAGTATAAACTAAAACCCAAACTGCTATATTTAATTCATTAAATGTGGAAAAAATTTATTTTTGATATAGCAGTAATATATTGAACAAGGAAAATTAGTATGTATATTATATTAATACAGATATCAAATTTTCCAGAAAAAAAAGCAATTTTCGGAAAATTAGTGCTTGAGTTGGTGTGAAAATTTCATCCCCATCTCATGTCTCCTCCCTGTTTATTTTTCCAAATTGAAACTGGAACACTTACTTTAACTATTGAGCACAAAAGAATGGGACCGTTTTGTTTGTTTTAAAACAGCGATTCTTTGCTCAGATGCATGGAGCAACTCCACTCCTGCTCCTAATAGTAATAAGTAATAAAATATAGTGTTAAGATGCACTGATATTTAAATCTGAGCAGATATTGATATAAGCTATTAACATTGATGTATAGCTAATGAACGATGTTAGTTATAGCACATGTATATGTATATGTGTGTATATATATATATATATATATATATATATATATATATATATATATATATATATTTAAAATTATATAATAAAGCAAAATTCCAACCCTTTCTGTACTGTGAAAAAGTTACCACATCTGGGACATTGCTTCTTCTGTTAACCTTCCCCTTGAACCCTGAGCTGCATCACCGTCACATGTCCAAACAAATATGACTTGATCAGTCCTCTCCCCTTCTTTAATTAATATGAGGCCAGATTTATGTATAGGGCCGATGCTAATACATTAAATAAAAAAAACATCATCCAAAACCAATGTTATTATCATTATAACCTTCATCCCTGCTGTGTTTCTTAGAACCTGGGATGAAACAGAATCAGTATGGATGCCTCAGAGATTTAGAGGGGGTTATTTGCTGCTGTATCATACAAATAAATAAAAAAAATCATACATTTCTGGATTTCTTTTCTTTTAGATTATGTCTCTCACAGTAGACATGCATCTGCAATGACAATGTCTGACCCCTCCATGATTTCTAAGTGGGAGAACTTGCAAAATAGCAGGGTGTTTTCCTCACTGAACATAAGCAGAGATCAGGAATTGGCCGGCCTGATCTGTGCATCTATTACTAATGACGTGCTGCTCCACTTAATACTGAAATTTCCACTTTGTCCCACCTTAACACAGATGACCAGTGATGGTCTAACTGCTTTACTTATTTCATCTGTAGGACTTCTTTCTTGCAGACAGATGTCTTTTTGTTTAGTGCATG